ATAATATAGAATAATATTTAAGATCATTGTTTTGGAATTTCCTTTATTTTAATCAAAAATACAAAAATATATAATATAATATTTAAATTTTTCTTCTACCTTGTTGTGTTGCGAATTCTTGAATTACATMATCAAATTGAATGTTAGTTGTTATATCAGCTTTCTTCAGAGGTGACCTCAGTTATGTTTTAATCTGTTTTAAACATGAGAAAGACCTTTCCGYCAAACAATCGCTAACTGGCGTGCATAACAGCATTTTCAGAGACACATCAATATAAGGATGCATACCTATCAAATCATTTTTTCTCAGAAAACTACACATTTCCTGAATGGTTTTAGGAGCCTTATCACCTATAGATAATAAGTGGCTTCTAAAATGAACACATTCATTAGCAAATAAAGTGCTGATATCATCTTTATATTCATTTTGAAGTATTTCAGCGTTCTTTCGAATTTCATTTGATGTCATCTCTGTTAATTTGAAAAATAAATTGTAATTTTTAAGTAGATGTACATATTTTTCATTTCTTTTTTCTAGTTCTAGCCGCAGTTGATCGAGTATAACAAAATAGGTATTGACTCTAAAATCAGAGTATTCAACTGTTGATTATTTAGATGGTCCTTCATCAAAAAATTGTTTTCTACTTTTTGACCGTTTAGTACAGGATTGAAACTGCTTAATTATACTTTTTTCAATTGCACATTGTTTAAAATACTCATAATTTTTATCGGAGTGAAAATCAATGATATATATTATTAATGATTTATACGATTCGCRCACTACACCCCAATTGATATTGACAGATTGCAATTTTTTTGYTCGTAAGGTTAAATCGGTGTAATATTTGACCCCAGAATATAGATAAGAAAGCAGTTTCTAAATTATTTAACTTGTTTAGAATTCCCCTAGCTTCATTTCGTGAAAGTGTTTTCTCAGCATTATCATTTTTTATTGGATCTAATGCTTTAATAATTAAAGACCAGTTTTTGTTTAGTGATTKGCAAGCATCATCTCTGACAGACCATCTTGTTTCAGGAAGTCCTTTAACAGAAGCGCTTAGAACTTTGCAGCGGTGAGTAGAAGCTGTAAAAAATGTGTAAATATTTTGAAGTAAATTGAAAAATAAGACAGCTTGAGTGCAACAATCAACTGGATTAGTTCCCACCAAGTTATGGGAATGAGCAGAGCATGGTACAAATTTTGTTAAAGGATTAACATTTTTAATTTTTGCTTGCAGTCCAGCATAAATCCCAGACATATTGCTGGCGTTGTCATAGGATTGGCCTCGAAGATAATCAATATTTAAGTCATATTTTTTGAATACACTAAATACAGCATTTGCCATGTCATCCGCTTTATGTCCAATTTGATCCAAAAAAACATAAAAACCTTTCGACGGGTTCCCCTTTATTGTTGATATATCGAACACAAAACGRAAGCTGGTTATATGTGATATGTCTGGTGTAGAGTCAACATTGATTGAGAAATATCGAGAAGCTTTAACTTCTTGAATAATTGTATTTAGTACTTGTCTAGACATTATACTGATAAATTGCTCATATACATTATATGATATGTATGATGTATTACCTTTTCCTGGGTTTCCATATGTTTCTAAATGGTTTGATAAGAAAGGATCAAACTCAGCCAATAATTCAAGGGCCATAAGAAAATTACCATTGTTATTACATCCTATTTTTGAAGTTGTTCCTCTAAATGCCAATCTCCTAGATGATAAACTTTTAACAACAGCCACAACTCGTTTTAATACATTTATCCAGTATGTATGTTGAACTTCTACTTGTTTCACAAGATTGTTGTCGATCTKACCAAGTGTGTTACCACGATCTTTCATCTTTAAGATATTTGAACGGTGTTTTGAAGAATTTGTGTGTTCCAATATACGCTCCTCAGCCTTTTTCCAATTAGAAAAACCAGTTGTAGCAAATGCTTGTTACCAAATAAAAGACATGGGCAGCAAAAAATAACACCTTTGCTCTCAGAGTACATCAAAAAGTCTCGTTTCAATTTTTCTCCATTTTTTARAGTGACCTGAAGATAGCTTAAATTAAAATACCTGTAGTAGGTTTAATTAATACCTTTTTCAGATCTAGCATAGGGTCTTTTTGATTTTGAAAAATTCATGCTGGAAACATTTTGAGAAAAACCTGGATCGTAATAACACAATATGGTATAATAAATAAATGTTATCAATTTTATTTAAGAAATTTGTATATATACATCAGTTTTAAAATGGCCATTTGTTTTACCAATAAATTACATTTAAGCTCTTATACAACAGCATTATAAAAAAGGAGACATTTTGGTTTCATTAAAGTTAGTCTTAAGTACAAATTGTTTATTTTGTTTGTGCAGTCTTCTAAATGGAAGGAGCTGCATTTTAGTATCATTTAATTTTTTGTAAATTAGATAGTTTTATTTAAAATATATATTTAATGAWTATTTATAAATAATTACCTACACAATTTTTAACAATACACAAGCACCATTGTTTAAAGTGATTGAATATTATAGAAAAATCAAATTTGAAATTAGGTATGTTCGTAGTTTCGTTCTAGGAATCGAATGATCACAAAAATCAAAATGTTCAAAGATTGAAAACACGTTGTTATCACATAACAAAACAATGATAGTATCTTGAACTCTTGATTACAGCAGTGATAACAATTCGTCCTCCAAAAAAATGGTGACTGAGTGTTCCAGGGGCTGGTTTATACTAAATAATTTGAATGGTTTTAATAACAGTGTCCAGTATACCGAAAGTTTAAAGTGAAATATTGCCAAGTTACGGTTAATTAAACTAATATTTAATGTAATAATATGAGCTAATAGTAAATAGTAATAATAATAAATTATGAATTATAATAAATAATAATAAAAATTTGTTTTAGAATATTTTGATAAATTAAATGCATATTTTACAATTTGTTATTGCATATAAATCCTAGCCCTACTTATAAGTTATACATTATAATGATTGTATACAATATACAATCAATTAAGGTTATTATTATTTTGTTTCATTAAATAGTTTTTAATACTGAATTTATTTATTTTATTGTTTTTTCTGAATACCTAATTTAATATTTATTAAATTATAAAAGTATATAATGTACAAACAATATTGAGTTATTCTATTACATTAAATGGTTTTGAAATAGGTATTGAAAACTTTTATTATCGAATAAGCAATATATATTATTATTTATTTGTTATTTATCATCTTTTCTTGAAAAGATACTTTTCCTTCGCTGAATATTGTTTGAACTTGTCTCTTWCTAGGTTAGCATCTCTAGGTGTATGGTGTATAACTTGAAGTCACTTGTAGAGGAACCATTTCACCAATTTGACGCCGTTGTCCTTGAATAATATTACCTGATTCTATGTCTTCTGAATCAATGTGATTTGCTGAGGTATAATACGTACTAGACTTTATAGTTCATACGTAAAAAATTATGTAAAACACAGCTTGCCATTACAACTGTATCAAAATTATCAACATTAATATTTAATGGTTGAAGAAAAACCCGAATTCTTGTTGCTAAAATGCCAAAAGCGTTTTCGATAACCCGTCGCGCTCTAAAAATTATATAGTTATATGTGTTCATCATGCCCAGAGTTATGCTTTCTGTATGGTTTCATCAAATTTTCCAAGAGAGCAAAAGCTTCGTCACCAATGAAAACAAATGGTAGCTTGAGATTGAGGTATTTTAAAATGTTTATTTTCCAGAGACCGGTATAAATCAGTTTCTTTTAAAATACCGCCATCAGAACTCGGTTCATKGGTACTACAATGCACATAAATAAATTCATAGTTTGCATTTACCACTGCGAAATGTTCAAAAACTAACTAAATGTTCCTTTATAATTAAAGTAATATGATCCACTATTTGGCGGTTTTGTGATTAATACGTGTTTTCCGTCTATTGCTCCTAGACTGTTATCAAAATCCCAAAAAGTCTTAAAATCTTATGCAATTTGTTTCCACTCTGATTCAGTTTTCGGTAACTTAAAAAATGAATAATCCTTAACTTTAGATCATAATAATATTGTATAGATACATATATTTAAATTTTAATAGAAAAATGTCGCTTTGGCCGAGTAGAATAGTTTTTCTGTATATCTACATGGGCTTGACGATTTAATAATAATGTTAAACAAGACCAAAAAGGATTTAAATATATAAACTTAAATCTTAATCAAGTGAAAACGATTAAAAAACTTTGATAATACTTTAATTTTAAATAAAAATAAACACAAACATTGCTTAATTCAAGTCCTGGAGCCAGCCTTGTAAAAACTTTGAATAAATGTATTCATATGAAAAATAAAATAAAATTTTTAACACTATTTTGATAACTCGAAAACTAAATACGTATTCTGAATATTTTTTAGTATTTTATATGATTTATTAAAAATAGTTTATTGAAATCGAAAATTAGTTAATATTTGTGGCAGAAGAATTTTTTTTAGCAAAAAATGTCTGGCACATTATAAGTTATGATTCTTNATAATTATAATTTTTTCAAGTTAAATGCATATTTTTTGATTTTTCATGCTATTTATAGCGCATATTTTGGAGTTTTTTAGTGCTTATTAAGGAGCTAAAAATTACCATTTTTAGTGTCACAACTTCCGAGCCCTGTTTATAACCATACATTTTCCTTGAATTTTCCAGGATTCAGCCAATAAAGTATTTAGGGTGACACTAATTTTAAAATGAAATACCAAGTTAAACGGTAACATGCTTTAAAAATGATATTTGATATTAGGTACTTAAATAATTTAAATTACACAACAATAAATACTTAGTATATTAAATATTTTAATATAAACTGTTATTAATATGTCATAGAAATAACTTTTTGATATAAGTATAGTTAATTATAAAACTTATAATTTAAAAATATAATAACCATATGAAAATATTATTGATAGTATGAAATGTATTAAAAATAATTTAATTAAAACACTAAAACGTGAACATAAATAAGTATACTGGTAGGAATATGATACATAAATAAGTATAATAACAGAATATTAACTTATTTTATAAGTATATACTGCCCATAAAATGTATGTACTCAGTGGCATAGCCAGGATTTCTAAAAGGAGGGGGCCAACAAAAAAATCTTATAAAAATTAAACGTTTGTAATCAAACTAGATACCATAGCTATAGATAATTAACACAATTTGGGGGGGGCAAGGCCCCTCTGGCACTCCCCCTGGCTACGCGCCACTGTATGTACTGGATAATATTAAAATCATTTACAAAAATACATATTAACTAAACATTTTAAAATAACTAAATTAATTCTTTTTATATAAAGAAATGGCAATGAATAATATAAAAAAAATTTTTTATTAATTTTGTAAAAATATTTAGCTCCTAATTTTTATATTGAAATATTAGAGAAAATAGAATAATTCAAAATATAATTAGAGAATTTCATTCATTTATGTAGTGCATATTCACTAATTATTCTAAGATTGCTATGACTTTCCCAAGTTTCCAGAAACTATGGCTACCATAATTTTCAAAATATAATGCTTCACATACCTACCTAACTGTTTTTTCAATAATATGTATAAAAGTAAAATTAATTTACTAAAAAAATTTTACTGTATTTTTTCTAGAAATAAAAATTATAATACCCGGTAAAAGGTATCAGTATATAAATACCCAAGGCTGGGCAAGTTAACGATTTTTTTTAACTCGTTAAGTTAAGTTAATATAAGAAAAAATAAGTTAAGTTAAGTTAAAAGTTAACTACAGTATTTTTTATAACTTCGTTAAGTTAATAATTAATGAATAAAAAAAATTAACTAAGTTAAAATTAACTTAATTAAAAATTTAATTTTTTTTGAATTTATAAGAAAAATAGGTGAAATGAATGACAAATTTGGAATTTGGGTCAAGTATAGATTTCTGGGCTCACGTGGACAACCATGTAGTATGCTTAGCAATATTTACTGAGGATTTAGGGTGGGCAGTTGATGATTTATCCAATTCACTCCCACCCATTAAAGAAAGGGGGGGNTAAATGTATTCATATGAAAAATAAAATAAAATTTTTAACACTATTTTGATAACTCGAAAACTAAATACGTATTCTGAATATTTTTTAGTATTTTATATGATTTATTAAAAATAGTTTATTGAAATCGAAAATTAGTTAATATTTGTGGCAGAAGAATTTTTTTTAGCAAAAAATGTCTGGCACATTATAAGTTATGATTCTTATGAACAATAGTTCTTCTCATTGAATGCAATATGTTTGATTCACATCAATTTTCAACCAAATACTGACAAAAATTATTAGTGAGGAGAATTTTTCTACTACAGCATTCGAAAACTTTTTTCTTTATTAATATTGATTTATTCGAATATGTATTCTGAGTTCAAAATAAAAGTATTCTATACAAGATTGCCTGGATCACATATAATTTGTCGTTTTACGAATTAAATTGTAAATATAAATACTATTGTTTGAATTTAATTAAATTTAAACTCAAAATAACAAAGTTATGCTAATTATAATTTATTGTATGTTAATATTTTTAAAATTGTAATAATTCCTTCAAACAGAAAAATGATCTCGGACAACGACATCTCGTATTATTGTAGTCTTAGTAAGGTATAACTCAATAACTGTATAAATATAACACATAATATTGTAGCCTGTAGATACTTTTACTTTTTAGTACTTATTTTAATTACATATAATATAATCATTAGATATTTTCATGGTTATTATGGATTATAAAAAATAAAAATAAAAAAAAACATGGAAACTTGCATGAGAAGTTGTTTTAAAAGTTAAAAATTTTAACCTTTTTATAACTTATAATTAATTAAAAMATTGTATAACAACTTACTAATCTATGTCTACCATGTTCTATTTTAGAAAAAAGACTTATTTGTTTGTATACAGTTCTGAAAATTATTGATATTTAAAATTTGTCACAACTTGTGAGTACTTAATAAACTAAAAATTAAGAACATAATATTATGCAATACACAAGATTACAAGAATACAAAATCTAAAAACTGAACAATTCTTTAACTTTAAATAAAAAAATATTCTTGCATTAACCAAAACATCACTTTTTACTTTTTAATATTATAAATACTTATTATATTTTAACAACAATGTCATTTCAAAATTGTTGTCACAAATTGAACCTYTTCTTTTATCAAAAAGTTGACCCCCGGCACTAAACAGCCGTTCTACAGGTGCCGATGATGGTATTGCAGTGTTATACTTAATGTAGAGCTTTTTCAGTTGAATTGGTAAATCAATTGGACACTTTATACTAGAGTTAGAAATGTATTCAGAAATCAAATTACGTATATCAGAATTATCAACAACAACTTCATTATAGGAAAAAGTAAAAAAATTATCTTCTTCATCACTAATATCAGTGTTATGAGCTGAAGGCTCAGTCGAAGATTGAGATAAAGTTTGAGAAGAAGTAATGTTGGGTTCTTCAATAAATTCAGAACACACAAAATCAATAATATCATCTTTAGTTTCAATTCTATCTTCTGGGCTTACCCAAGCCAATTTAAATTTTGGGACTAATGCTGAAGAAACTTTAAGGGATTTAGACTGCATGTAACTATTGAATCTGAAATCAAATTTTAATTTAATGTAACATTAATATTTTCTCAGATTTTTATTTTATTCAAACTATAATTACTTTAATGTACTAATTTTAAATATAATTTAATTTGCATTTTTAAAAGCCAATGCTACAACTGTGAGGGGTTGATACTAATGCGGTAATGCTCAACAGCTTATAATTAAAACCAAAAAATTGCATTATATTAAATTATATGTACATTAATATCTTATTTTTTTTTAAACTCAATACATAATATTCAAAATAATATTAAATTACTAATTCAAAATCAACTAGATAAATAGTGAAAAAAAAAAATATGAAAGTGAATAACAAGTATTAAGATACCTCATCCGTCCTCAAATGTAAAATATTCTATTAAACTTAAAACTAAAATTCACTATAATTTAGCCATAATATATAATAATATTTAATACATTGATTTTACCTTTTTTTTAATCCATTTTTGAGAGCATTAACTAATGGTCTACAGTAATTTAAATTGTTTAATTCATTCAATTCTTTTGTTACAGCTGTTATAGTTGGTAAAAGATATCCAATACACACATGATTTTCCCCTTGTAACACATCTAATGCTATTGAAATAGGTTTCATTACCTAAAAAATAATGAACAGCACTAATATTAATATTTATAGATAAAAATTCAAAAACATACCTACAATTAATGATTTTAGTATAGGTATCTAGAATCTTGATAATAATCAATTATTGAACTAATAGTTTCAAACATTTTAATTTGAAATTATCAACATATTATTGTGAAAACTAAAATTTACTTTTTTGTTTTGAGATCTTGAGAAAAAAATTGAAAATATACTAGGTACCTTTTTACAAATATGAATGTATTCATTATTGTAATAGGTAGGTACTTGTTATTTAAAAATATGAAAAAGTCAATGCAAATAAAATAAATTACTAAGTAATTTAAGTCTTAAATAATAAATATCAATAAACTTATAAAACAACATGTCATTATTTAACAGAAATACTTTTTGTTTTGAATTATAAACATAAATTATAATACCTTGCAATACTCAATTAAAAATGACACGTCTCTTTGAACTGCAAAAGGTGGTAGTTGAACTACTTCGAATACTTTATCCATTTTTGTTATATTGCCCACAATACATTTAATTGCATCGTAAAAAGAATTCCATCTAAAAATTTAATTTAAAATAAATTGTTTCAATATAAAACACAGCTATATTTTTTAAATTATTAATTTATGAATAATAGTATAACTTGCCTTGTGGCATTTGGTGTTATGAGATATCGTCCAAGAATTTCTTTGATTTTATCAGCGCACTGTGAGGACTGATTTTGTTTATTGAAAATAGCTTGACATTTACTAAATGCACGTCGACTGTTAACTTTATAAGTACCATCTTTTTCAGCTTCTTGGATATCTACTGTAGCTATTAAATTTAATGTATGTGCTGCACATCTTTGGTGTTTGGGTAATTTTATTTCTGATGATTCATCAAAATCATCACCATTATCGAGAATATCGGTTATGTTTATAGTTCTCAGTACTTCATCATTTTCGGTTTCTTCAATGACTGTATTCCTTCCAGTACTACAAGCACTCAACCCACTTCTATCACTTTCATTAGTGTTATATATTCTAAAATTATTTAAACGTTTATTTAAATCAAAACATATGCATCTAGAATGGATACTACTTACTTGAATGCCTTTACAACATTTGCTGCATTGTCTGTTACAAGCAGTGTGGTTTTATTTTGTAAGTCAAATTCAGTGAGTACTTTATCAATAAGTTCTGCAATTGCATCATATGTATGTCTTCCCAACATCCGCCTGCAAGCAAGTGCTTTTGAGTTACGCTCTAGTGTAGTAGGATTAAGCCAATGAACAGTGAATCCCATAAAAGACCTGAAATAAAATACAATTAAATACAATTTCTATTTTAGCTGGTGTAATTTACTAATGTAKTTTAGGTAATAGGTATTACCTGTGAAAAATGCTCCAGCAATCAGCAGTAATGCAAACATAATCTATTTTGGACAGTTCAGTTTTTAATTCTTGAATCATACCATCATATAAACAATTTATATCTCTCATTMAATTTCTTCTACACATTGGTACTTTATTAGAAGTTAATTTACAATAGTTGATGAACGCAGGATGTTCAATCATAGAAAACGGTGATACAGTGTTTATAATAAGCCTTAAATTTTCACGGTCAAATTCTTTTTGGGTAAGTTTTTTAGAAATTTGGCCAACTTCAGATAACTTTAATTGTTTATATGGTTGCACAGAAATATTGTTATTTAACCTCCTTTTACTATTTTCATTAAATTCATTTAATTCATTTGGATGTACATGCTAAAAAACAAATGAATTCAACATAAAATTAATAGCAAATGTATTATATTTACCTCATGGATAATACATATATTTAATTGAATAAATATTAAATTATAAGGTAAATAATAAAATGTAACCTATACCAAATTATCAACTTGTATGTAATAACATATTAATATCAATGTTATTAAAAATTATAATGTTCTATTAATATTATTAAATTTGTTAATTTAATTTTTATTAGGTGTGAGCTGAAAATTAAAATAATGAAATATACATCTATTTTATATTACTATACAAATTTTAGATACTATCTACTTTTAAACGTATGTGTGGTATGTTGTATGTATGTTGTATGTATGTATAATGTATATATAAATTTAGATTATTAAATAATTAAGTATAGTTACAAAAAGTTAAGAATAAATGAATAACTAAAAAAATAATTATTATACCTACCTATTAACTAATATTACGATACCACTTTAAACATTAAACTTACCTTAATGTGAGTTTTAAGATTTGAATTGGATGTTTTCGAAGTTGACAATAATTTAGTTTTTGGAAGACAAAGAATGCACTTGAACACATAATTTCCACTTTGATCCGAAATATCCGCAGGTAACTGTTCAAAATATTTATTTAAATGTGGCCATTTTGACCCTAGGTCTCTTGACTCGGTCATCATTAATTAATATTAAATTTAAATGATGATAATGAAAACAAAAAACAGTAAAAATACCACGGTGGCACAGTGAAATTACTGAATTACAACAAATAATAATAAATAACTGTGTTAACCGAACTGCAGTACCTACTGCACTCGCACTTTAGTAATGAACTAATGAAACAATGGCTAATGGGGAATGAGCAGTATGAATGAGAGGTATAGCAGTCATCAAAATAACATCACCGTGGAGTTTATTTTTATATTTATTTTTAAATATACTATAAACCCTGGAGT